TTATTTATTTTCTAAGAACAGGCCTCACTATGTAGCTCTGGCTAGCCTAGAACTCACTATGTAGACCAGGATGGCCTCAAACTCACAGGCATCAGCCTGCTTCTGCCTCCCAAGTGCTGGGATTAAAGGAGTGAGCTACCTACCACATCCAGCACACCAATTTGAATTTATAAAATAAATATTGAGAAAACTATCCACTTCTTTTAGATTTTCCAATTTTGTGGAGTACGTGTTTTAAAGTATGACCTAATGAGTCTTTGGATTTCCTCGGTGTCTGTTGTTATGTCTCCATTTTTGTTTCTGATTTGGATACTCTTTCTCCTCGTGTTTTAGTTAGAATAAGCGTTTGTTTACCTTGTTGCTTTTCTCAAAGAACCAACTCCTTGTTTCATTGATTCTTTGTATTTTTCTCTGTTTCTATTTTATTGATTTCAGCCCTCAGTTTGATTATTTCTACCCTCTACTCCTTTTGGGTGTGCTTCCTTTTTTTTGTTCTAGAGCTTTTAGGTGTGCTGTAAGTTGCTAGTATGAGATCTCTCCAAATTTTTATGTAAGCACTTAGTGCTATGATCTCCATCAGGCCCCTCCCCTTGGAGCTTGGGGAACCCCAAAGAAAAAGAGAAGGAAAGATTGTAGAAGCCAGAGGGGTTGAAAACAGGACCACATGGCCCACAGAATCAAATAACCAAGGCTCATAAGGGCTCATAGAGACTGGAGTGTCAATCACTGAGCCTGCATGGGTCTCAACTAGATCCTCTGCATATATCATGGTTATTAGCTTGATGTTTTTGTAGAACCCTTAACAGTGGGAAAGGGGGTGTCTCTGACTTTTTCACCTGCTCTTGGGACCCTTTTCCTCCTACTGAGTTGCTTTGCCCAGCTTTGACATCAGGGTTTGTGCCTAGTCTTATGTATCTTGTTTTGGTTTTGTTTTTTATTTATTTATTTTACATCCTGACTGCAGTTTTCCCTCCCTCCTCTTCTCCCAGTTCCTCCCCTGACACCTCCACCATGCCCCACCCCATCCTTTCCTCCATTTCTATTTAGAAAAGGGCAGGCCCTCCATGGATATCAACAAAACATGGCATAAGAAATTGCAGTAAGACTAAGCACCTCCCCTTGTATTAAGGCTGGGCAAGGCGACCCAACCTGATATGAGGAATAGGGTCCCAAAAGTCAACAAAAGAGTCAAAAACAGCCTTCGTTCCCACCTTAGAAGTCCCACAAGAAGACCAAGCTATACAACTGTCACATATATGCAGAGGGCCTAAGTGAGTCCCATGCAGGCTCCCTAGTTGTTGGTTCAGTCTCTGTGAGCTCCCATGAGTCCAGGTTAGTTGATTCTGTGAGTTTTCTTCTGATGTTCTTGACCCCTCTGGCTCCTACATCCTTCCTCCCTCTCTTCAGCAGGATTCCCTGAGCTCAGCCTAATGTCTGGCTGTGGGTCTCTGCATCTGTTTCCATCAGTTGCTGGATGAAGCCTCTCTGATGTCAACTGGACTAAGCACCAATCTATGAGTATAGCAGAATATCATTAGGCATCATTACATTGACATTTTTTTTTTTCTCCAGTCATGTTTGGTCTCTGGGAAGGCAATCTGGCTGCAACATCTGTCACCACATTGATTACCAGGGTTGATTCAGCTGATCTGGCTGGCTAAGCGGGTGTCCCCTTCCTCCCTCACAGCTCCATGTGCACCTCTCGGGAAGTTGCATGCTCTGTTGAAGAGGACGACCTCCCCCAATAGAGGAGGACCAGTCCAAACAAGGTCTCAAGGTCTATTTATTGTGTCTTGCTATGCCGTGTTCGGCTGACAGCCCTGGGAGGCATGCTCTTTTTTGGAGGGAAACGAAGGAGGAGTGGGCCAAGGGGAGAGGAGAGGAAAGAAGATTGGGGTGGGGTGGAGGGAGGAATATACTGAAAACAAAGCAAGCAAATAAAATAAAATTTAAATAAATAAATATCAATGCAAAATTCTAATATCAGGCTGGGGGTCCTGAGGACTACCAATGAAACCTACTGTGAAGCTGGGTTTGCATGGTTCTCTATGGCAAAGCTAGTCCCCAGAGGAATTCCCAACCATAAGAACTGAACAGACTAAAAGGATAGCCAACCTATTCAACTGTGTTGTTTTCAGACCAAAAAATACCTGTTAAAATCTCAGGGACTACTAAGTTTAAGAACACGTCGACAATAAAAAAAATAATTAAATGCTGCAAAAATAAGCATAACGTATAAGGAATGTATGGTGCAGACAGCACAACTAATTGTATAAACAAATCACTCGAATTCTATAATGGCCTTGACATAGGTTTCCAGTAGCATTTTCCAGGTGGTAGACCAAGACGACACTATGTGAAAGAATGAATGGCTGTGGGGTTTGGGAAGGCTAAATGAAAAGCTGTATTTCTTTCTTTTTAAAATTGACTTTTAGTTATGTGTATGTGTGTATGTCTGTGTTGGCTTGTCCATGTGCATGTGGGTGCCCACAAAGACCGGAGGAGGTGTCAAATGTCCTGGAACTGGAGTTCCAGGCAGTTGTGAGCCACTCAGTGTAGGTGCTGGGAACAAATTCCGGTCCTCAGCAAGGGTGGTGCCTGCTCTCACTATTCAGCCACCCATCTCTCCAGGCCCAAGCTCGGAACTTTCAATATAGCTTTAAGACCTTGGGCATGTCTCTCGAACACTTAACAAAATGGAGGTGAAGGGTTGGAAGGGTAGCTCAGTGATGGGGTGCATGCTTGGGAAATAAGGGGCTCTGGGTCAATAACGACAAAAAGGAACCAGGGCTAATTTGATTATTCTCCCTTCTTAAGGGCTGAGGAGACGGCCCAGTGGGGAAAGCGCTGCCTCAAGAGCATGAGGACATCCCCAGAATCCAAGTAAAGCGGTGGCAAGTGTCTGTGACCCCAGAGCTACAGCATGACAACTGGAATACAGGAGACTCCACAGAAGCTCGAAGCCCAGCTGGCCTGGCATATGCAGTCGCTTGTCCTCTGACCTCCACGTGTATGCCATGGCATGCATACACCTGCACTCACACACAAGATGTTTACACACACCTACATTACCACATTAGCTCCTTACCACCCCCTACACACACAGACACAAGTAAGTAAAAAAAAAAAAAAAAAATCAATTGAAAAAAGAAAGAAAACATTTCAAGCTCTGTTTACACACTGGGCACTCAGAAATGGAAAGGATTGGCAGCATCACGAGGATCGTGCTCAGTACTCTTTCACAAGGCACACTTTGCAAGGTCTTCTGAAAAGTCCACACTGCTGACATGTGGGTGTGCTGAACGCCTGTGAGAGTACACTGCCGTCCGCTCTCTGCCCGAGACCTACGTTAGAAACCCAGAAGCCATCTGTGTGCATGCGTTTTCTCAAAACAAAGGAGTCATGCTCTCCGGAGAGTTAGCAAATCCATCAACAGCAGTGCCGCCTTGGAAAAGACAATCCCACTCTGCCTTCCACGTACCGATGATCTCAGCTCTAAATTCTCAGTACACAAAGACTCCCACATAAGTTAATGGGAAGTCAATGGGAAATTGACTTTTCCTACTCTGGGCTGGTAGGAATGCAATGCTCTGTTAATCATGCCATCCTTCTTGTTCTCTTTCCTCCTACCCTAAATTAAAACTATTGGCGGAAACCCACACAGACAGTTTACAGTTTTCATTACGATAAAACAATATCCTGGTGGAAGTTGAGGGCTATCAAAAACATACATCCTAACTGTTGGCTACAATTAAAGTCTCAGAGAGAAGCAAATGTCTGGTCTTGTCCATCATGTTCACCGGAATATCACTTTGCATCTGGAGAGCGCTTTCACATCTATTATCTATTCGATCATTACCATCACCCTGTGCAGTAGAAAGGATGTGTGTTATTACCCACCACTGACAGATGAGGCAACTGTGGTACTGAAAGGTTAAGTGATCCGCCTCAGGCCAGGAACCCAAAGCAGAGCTGTGGTTTCCCCTCCTAGTGCAGTGTCCTCCACCAGACCACAGGAAAAGGTTTGCCAGACAGATTACAAACTCAGGTAAAAGAAAACGGGAGAGGAGAGCTCAACCCAGGCTCAGGGCAGCTCTAAGTCTCTCATTGTTTATAAATTTTCCGCGACCGGTGCTGAAGCTTTAGAAGAGTACCCTTTCTGCTACCTATTTTAGTCTCAGACAAAAGTCAAGATACCAAAGGAAAGTCCACCTAGTGTGTATTCAGATCACTTTGGATCAGTGAGCGAGCGGCCCTGCTGTTCATTTCAGAGTATGAGCAGGAGGATGGGCAGTGCATAAAATACCCAGGAGTACATCTTTAAATCCTGCGTCCATAAAAGCCTGCAGCTATATCATAGCTGAAGTCTGGAAGGGTGAAAGAGATCTCCAGTCAAAAGTAGATTTTGAAAAATTTTTTAGAGCCCAGGGGTTCATTTTTAATGAGCCGTTACTTTAAGTACTGCATAAAAAATACAGGAAATTGATAGTCCATTTAGTCTGCACCATACCTAATGCAAAAGTCATTAAGATGCATTATTCTTAATGTTCATGATATGATCAGTAAGTGTCTTTTGAAAATAATGCCCTTAACTTTCGCATATGGAAATCTTGAAAACCTTATCTAGTATACAGAAAGATGCTATGGCAACTGTGATTTACTTACATAGCTTCACTGTGCCCAAGAAACAGCATCCTCAATTACATTACCATTCTTTAAAAGTAGTCCTTGTTTGCTGGGCTGATGAGAAGACTCAGCGGGTGAGAACACTTGCCACCAGGCCCGACAACCTGAGCTGCATCCCCAGAACTCACACGGTGGAGGAAGAGAACCGACGCCCGCAGGTGGTCCTCTCTCGCTCTCTCTCTCCCTCCCTCTCTCTCTCTCTCTCACACACACACACACACACACACACACACACACACACACACACACACATGCACGCACGTGCACGCACGGTCTTAAGACCCTCCCACAGCCCTCGTAGGCAGTATACTTACGTATGACAGCATCGCCTTCATTTCTTCATCACTTCTCACTGTAATCCTATCTCCATCTTCATCTTCATCTGTTTAAAAATGAATATGATGAAAGGGGTAAGACGTGCGTTCCTTTTTTGAAGATTTATTTTATCATTTCATTGTGTATGTGAGGGAATATGTACACAAAGGTGCAGTGCTCACAAAGGCCAGAAAAGGAGTTGGATCCCCTGCTCTAGAAAGAACTGAAATTTTCTTTTAAAAGGAAGGTAAAATATTGAAATAGTTCTCTAGTTATTCTAGACACATATCTAGGTCAAGTAAATCTGACTGGAGAATGACAAGACTGGCTTTTGAAAGAAGAGAGGCCTCCCTTCCACCTTCAGTGCTTTACGTCTCCTGTGGCACCGTGTTCCCGTTCTCCTCCTCCTCCCTCCCAGAAAAGCCATCACATCCCCGAAGCAGGGGGAAAATGTCTCACATTTGCTAAAACAGAGGGGCTCTGACTTGTGCTTCATATGCAGTACTGCCTTACGAAGCACACTACAGTCCTGCAATGTGGACAGCAGGATTATTTCTGCTTAGAGAAGACAAGCCTGGAGCCTCGCACAGGGTAAAAGCCAAGGGACTCCAACAGTAGGCTTCCATCCTCCATCCTATTTTGCAAAGTTCTCTCCGAGAATTTTGTTTGTCTGAGTCCTGCAAGACTCAAGTGGTGATTCATGCTATTTTGAAATAAAGTAATAGTCTCAAGACTCAGGAATATTAAGTCTTTACAAAACCTATAACCAGAATGTGCACATTTGAATAAATAGTAAAGAGGCCACATCTAGAAACAATGTGCTCATGTCGGTAATTCTCTTAGTTTTAAAAGCTGCTTTTAAGAACCTAAAGCTAGACCTCTTGAGAAGATCAGATCTCAATTTCAACCTAAAATAGAATTGTTGGCCTAATCACCACCCACATCTTTTCCCAGGCTGGACTAGAATGACGTCGGTTATTTCTAAATATATTGATACTTCATCCTTCCAGAGAGTAGGAACACATCTGTCGAGAACAGGAACACATGGGAGACCAAGATGGCCCAGTGGATAAAGCACTTGCTTTCAAGCCTGACAACCTGAGTTCAATCCCTGGAACCACACTGTTGAAGGAGAGAGATTCAGCTCCCAGAAGTTGTCCTCTGGCCTCTGCACATATGCGCAGCGTGCGTGTGCCCACGGGCACACAGGCGCACACACTGAATGGATGGATGGATGGATGAAAGAAAAAAAGAAATGTAATAACAAAATTCTAACAAGAGCAGGAGCATTTGGCAGCTGATGTGGAAGCTCTAAATACATAGTTAAAGAAAAATGCCCAAACATTTGAGCAATGTACAGAGCCTGCCCAGGTAACAATCTAGAAGGGGCAGGCCCTTGGCAGGATGCTCAGAATCTAAGTGCTTGCTAGACGGTCAGCATTCTATGTCTGTTCACTCGTGGGCATATAACTGCTGATTAGATGGGCCCGTTCCAAACCTGACGCACCGGACACCTCATCCTCAGAGAACATGTTTGCACAGCTCTGAAGGAACAAAGGGATTTGGTTCAATACACAACCATCACACACCAACAGGCACACCCTCCTCTCCAGAGGAAGACATTCTGAAGATGTCCTCCGGTTTGGTGACAAGGCCATGAGGGCCATGGGAAGGAGTCTGTGCTTTTCCCAATTAGCCTATTACTAAGCAAAATACTAGTGGTTCCTTTTTGTTCTCAGTGACCAGGAGCAAACTGACAGTACCAGGGGAGGAAGCATTTCCCTCGGTGACTTGAGCCAACAGTTTTCCAGGGTCTTCTTTCCAAAGCCTCATGCTGCGGACTTCCCCAAGTCTACTGAATCAATTATCTCCACATCACTGTCCAAACAGCTGGAGCTGTCAAAAACCTCACACACCTTTAATCCCATTTAATCTCAGCACTTGGGAGGCAGAGGCAGGTGGATCTCTGTGAGTTTGAGGCCAGCCTGGTCTACAGAACGAGATCCAGGACAGGCACCAAAGCTAGACAGAGGGGGAAAAAAAAAAGAACCCCTACTGAAAACCCTACAGCCAACAGTAAGGACCTCCACACTAGTATGCAAAAAGACACATTTCTGCCTGCATCCCTGCACATCTGGGAGATTTCTACGCATAAAGAGCTGCTTTTTCTGTCTGTGTTTGGTTCTCCATACAGACTTTCTAAGGACAAACTGGAGAGGTACAGCATCCTAGCAGAAACAAGAAAGGTGTTTCTACACAGGTCTTAGAAACTAACATACTCAAGGCTAAGTTGGAAGTTTCCTTTGAAATCCAGGAGATAAGGATGAAGAAAAAAGTAGTCTAAAAGTACAGAAGGCTATGAACCACCACACACGAGGGCACTTCATATTGTTCTTCAACGCCAGGTCAAAGAGGGCTGGGAAAGACAGCTCAGCTGGGGAAGTGCTTTGCCACGCAGTTAGCACTCCTGTGCGAGGGACAAAGAGACAGGAGGGTCCCGGGGCCTTGCTGGCCATCCAGTCTAGCCGAGCTCCAGATTTACTAAGAGCATCTGTCCTAAAGAATAAAATGGAGACTAAAAAGACATCTGAAGTCAGTGTGTGACGCCACAGACATGCTCACACAAACACATGTGCTCCTGCACACACGCATGAATCCGGGCCAAATTCTGCCCAACATAAAAGAGCTTCTGGCCAGTCTCATTTCTGCATCAGAGTTAGCTATGCAGATGATACACACAAAGGGACAAGACAGCTCATATTCAAATTTCAACACACACACACACACACACACACACACACACACACACACGTGACCTCCTTGAATAGAACAGGAAAGCACTGAGTTTAGTAAAACAGGTGAGGAGCCTTTTACGACTTCTGATGAGAAACCGCAAATTCCATAAGTACCATTTACATAATTATCTTTCCAAATTAAGATTAGGAAGCATTGAGGGAGAGAGGAAGCAGGGGTGGGGTGGGAGATGGAATGAGGTGGGAATCTCTAAACTCTCAAACCCAGACTTACGTACTTAAGACTACTGACAACGAAGTGTTCTGGAATTCCGGTTTCTATATAAGTTCGGGGATTTTTGCCAGGAAGTCAGCCGGCAGAGCAGTTCCTCACAGGGCACTCCATGCGTAACAGACAGGTCCCTCCCACGGCCAAGGTACTTAAGCAGACAGGTGTGGAGGAGAAGTGCTGACCCCAGCCCCAGCATGGGGTCTGACTCCAAGAGGGAGAGCTCAGACCAGTTGAAAGGAGCATTCCAATTAAGCCTGGTGATAAAATCAGGCTTTTGTGACATGGTGACTAATAGCTCTTATGGCCTAACAGGATGGATGTCTTGGTTTCTCCGGGGACTGCTTTACCCTCTAATTTCCGTGCTGAGCTGCTTTAATGAAGACTCTGCTCTTGTCAAAGTGGAAGCTGGGCTGGAAAAATGACCACACGCCTGAGAATACAGGTGAGGCTGGCCAGAAATTGCAACGGGACCTGTCCCTGACCCCGTGATGGCAGCCTTGGGGACAAACCACTCACCTCAGCACTTAAAGAGAGGACGCATCTCTTTCCAAAAGCAGTTCAATGAGAGGCCTGGGAAGCAAGGGAGAGAGGAAAGCAGACATGCCACCAAGCAGCTTGGCAGACAGTCACCTGAAACACCTTGAAGCCAAAAGTTAGACCTGCTCAAACAGCTCCAGCGAACACCCTGCCTATTTGCCTTTCAAACTGCATCGGCTATTTAAAAACTACACTCACTAGAGTAATAAATCCTAAGATCTTACTAAAAGGGAACCCAGAGTTCGAAAGGTACAAACGGCTGATATAGAGCTCCGGGAGGAAGTGGCACTGAGCAGAAAGCAGAAAAATACAACCTGAGCTCTTTTCTGTCTTATACAGGAAGGTTCTTTGCCATCTGACCAAAATAACATTACTGGATATAACCAGGGGGTGGGGGGTGCTCAGGGATCTGACACACTGGTTCACAATGACAATCCCAGACTCCTCTAGTTGCCTGGAGCATAGTAATATGATTTTCCAGCACATTAGGGAAGCAAAAGGAGAACCGGAAAGTCTATGCACTGGCTGGATTTTGTTAATGTCACTTAAAATGGAGGCAAAAATCCTAGCAAGATACCAAATAGAGTACGGCAGATGGCAAACAAATATTATGAAGCAATCTTTACAAAATCTGCAGTGTGTCACAAATATACAAAATGGCAGAGTTTGGGAAAAGAGAATCATAACAGGCCATATGTTGTTCACAATTTTTATCCGAAGCGACATGCAATCTGAAAGACGAACCCAGAGGAGGCGTCTAAAGGCCCCAGAGGAGAGCAGCACCTCACGAGGTGCTCAGATCGGCCCAGCGAGTAAACAGCAGGAACTGGGGAACCTACAGCACCCTCCACAGTGACAGGGGCTCAGGGGGGCTTTCCACAAGGAGAGACAGAAAGTGGAGGCAATATATTATGTGTCATTTGTCACGCTCCTTCTGGACCAGGTAGTAGTCAAAGAGAACCACAATAATGGCAGGAAAGAAATGGAAACATGCTTGTAAATGTTAGAAAGGCATCAGCAGGAAATCACCAGAAAAGATGTCAAGTTCAGAGCAGTTCTCAGGGATGGAGTCCACTGATCTAGGCAGGATAATGGGCCATGGTTTCTGTGGTCACTCCTTCATATCCATGAGCTATCGCTTAGCTCCTCCCCTCCCCTCAATGCTCCAATGCTTCCTTGTTTCTCTGTTTCCTTCTTCTTCTTGCCAAAGAAAGTGCCTACTATGTGGCAGGTGCGATACCCGGGCACAGAGGTGGTGAAGTGACGTGTGGGTCACGGAGACACAGATGATATTTGGGGAAGAACACTGGGGGCAGAAAGAACAGCTAACACCAAGGAAGAATTCCCAGCATGTTCCAGAAACAAAGGAAGTGAGACTGGCTAGAACAGAATGCAGACGAGAGAAAGAAAGTGTCCAGAGAGGTGACAGGGAGGCTGGGTCAGGGACAACGTGTAACATGGGGACTTGAGTATTTGAAGGCGTTACCTTTCGCTCTTAAGTAAGAA